AGTATACGCATCATGGGCTTTTGTACTTGATAACAGATTTGCTGGCCAACGATGTTATCGACAGTTTTATCTCGCGTGCCAAATTTATAGACGGGATTTATGCCGTAACAAGTCGTATCTGTCATCATAACCAGCATGCGCGTTTCTTTGCCATCGTGATTATAATAAATGGGAGAATAGCATTGAGATACATTGGTACCTTCTTTTATCACGGGGTTGGTAATAATCAGTCAGCTGGGGTCAAAAGGACCGTATTGGGATCGTTGTTGTTGGCATTGAGACGTTCGTGGTCGGCGGTTACGATGTAAATTTGGGTTGACATGTTTCTGAGTTTGTATTTTGGGTGGGAATGTTTTTTCATTTTTCTGAGGGTTAATCTGCCGCGTCTATTAAATTTTCATTAGGCTCTATTCTTGTTACATTTTCTATATCCACGTTATATTCAATTATTAAGCCCAGATCATATTACTTAGCATCCAGATTAGATTCAGAATTAGGCGGTAAATCGTCTTCTCCTTTATGCCTAATTCTTTTGTGACGGCCATCTACTAAGACGACATGGTCCATTCCATCTAATCCAATACAATTAATAACGCAGCTAATACAATCGTCACAATCGACACATTCTGCAATTGATGTAACCAAAACAAGATTCGCAACTATCCAAGGCACAAGAATGTCCACAATCAAAACAATTGGAACAAAATACGCAATCACTGCAAGTCGAACACTGGGTACATTTTGTACAGTCGTTACGTTTGTGGCAGTCGTGCCATTCTTTGTAATTGATGCATTCAAAGATACCGTTCAAATTTAAACAGTGAATACAATCGACAGCATCTAACACGTTAACAGATCGAACCGTGTCTTTACAAAAATAACAATTTACGTTGGTTTTTTGCTCTTTCATTTCTGTTTCTTTTTTTTTTTAATTTTAATCGATCAAATCACTGGGAATATTTGCTTTGGCTGATAAATTTTATTTCCGTAGTTTGTTTTTCTCACCAAGCAAATGTGATGCCTTTGGCTCTGTTCGTCCAGTTTCGTTTGCTCGATTAAATCAACTTTCGTTTCACAGCCGTTTACAGTTAACCACGCTGCGTGAGCCGCGACTAATTTGGCGTATTCGAACTGAGTGGCAAAGGTTAGGTCCATTTTGGGGAATACGGATCAAAGGCAGAAATTTATTTCAGAATTTTCGGAGGGCAGCCCGTTTTCGCCGTTTGGGCCGGGGTTTGATATTTTCAGAGATCAATTGTACGGCGAAAATTATTTTTGGAAAAAGGGTCGCGTAGGAATATGACGTTTTTTCGATTTTGCTAATTTTGGATTTTGGCGGTTGAAAAGGGTCGGGTACCTATAGGACGTTTATCATTTTGCGGCAGAGTCGGCCTATCCCTACTTCTATCAAATTTTTAGCGAATGGCAAATATTAAGTGGTGAAAGGAAATTTTGTAGTTTGTGCGTAGGTATTCCCTAGCAGACTCCCCCTCACTACTTGTGGGGGAGAATTTTTTCTGTCCAATTCATTGTGGCGAAATGGGAGTACTATATTTATATTCCCGAGTGCGGGAAGCAGGGTTCGAATCCCCGAACATACATTTTATTCTCTCAGTCCTCTCCCCTTCCTTTAGCGATTCACTTGATAATTCCTGAAATTGGAAAAAATCGAGCTGTGCTTTGAAAGTCGAGTGTGACGTGTCGTGGAAGCGCAGGGCCTCTCAGTGTGACAGCAGTGTTCGGTATTGTATCTGTGTAGTATAGTAGTATGGAAGTGCTGTGTACGTAAACATGATACGGTGGATTCTAATGCAGGTAGATATGTTTTAATTCCAATTCACTTATTAAACGTAAGGTTAAGCTTTAAAAATCTCGGTTTCCCAAGAGCTGTTCGTGGCGTATTGTTGAAGCGTCATTTTCGAAATCTGAAATAATGAGTTCAGATCAAGGTGCAGACACTTTTTGAAATTCCACTTTATTAAGGAATCAGTGTTGTTTCATAGATATTGGGCCTTAATGTGGAAGCGCCGTGCAGGAAAGTGTGGGAAGCTGGTTCAAATTCAGAAGACTCCTCTTTCAATTTCAAATTATTAATTCAAACCTGAAGGTTATGTATATGTTCAGCGTATAGTATGAGGTGCTGGGTTCGAATTCCGTACAGTCTTTTTAAAATTTTTATAAACTCAAACCTAAGGTTAAATACAGTGTATAAAAAACTACAGGTTTTCTTCTGAGATGTTTGTGGTTCTGTGAAAAAGTGCCGTACTCCAACGTAGGGGGTGAAGGGTCCAAATCCCAGTAAAGAAGCCTTTTTAAATTTCAATTTGAAGTTGAAAATGTAAACCTAAGGGTTGAGTTTTTTTTAAAAGGAAGTGTTCCTCAGAGATGTTTGTGGCTGTGTGAGAAAGTGTCGTGCTCCAAAGTTGGGGGTGCAGGGTTCGAATCCCGGTAGAGACAGCTTTTTCACTTTCGATTTGAAGTTGTGAATATAAACCTAACGATTTATTTTTAAAAAAGGTAGGGTCCTTCAGAGATGTTTGTGGCTCTGTGCGAAAGTGTTTTGCCCCAAAGGAAAGGATGCTAAGCTCGAATCCCGATAAAGACGCCTTTTTAAATTCAATTTGAAGTTGTAAATATAAACCAAAGGGTTAGGCAAAAAAAAAGTTGTTTTCTTCGAGAAGTTTGTGGCTATGTGAGAAAGGGTCGTCCTTCAAATTGGGGGGTGTGACGTTGGAATCCCGGTAGAGATGCTTTTTTAAATTTCAATTTGAAGTTGTCAATGTACACCTAAAGGTTAAGTTTTAAAAAGGTAGTGGTTTTCAGAGAAGTTTGTGGCTCTGAGGGAAAGTGTCGTGTTCCAAAGTAAGGGGTGCTGGGTTCGAATCCCGGTAGAGATGCCTTTTTAAATTCCAATTTGAAGTTTTCAATGTACACCTAAGGGTTAAGTTTCAAAAAAAGGTAGTGGTTTTCAGAGATGTTTGTGGCTCTGACGGAAAGTGTCGTGCCCCAAAGTAAGGGGTGCTGGGTTCGAATCCCGGTAGAGATGCCTTTTTAAATTTCAATTTGAAGTTGGAAATGTGATCCGAGGGGTTAAGTTTAAAAAAAAGGGCAGTGTTCATCAGAGATGTTTGTGGCTCTGAGGGAAAGTGTTGTGCTCCAAAGTAAGGGGTGCAGGGTTCGAATCCCGGTAGAGATGCCTTTTTAAATTTTTATTTGAAGTTGGAAATGTGATCCGAAGGGTTAAGTTTTAAAAAAAGGTAGT